TGTGTCAGGAGCACAGACTGGAGCACAGAACGAAGCACATCGCTCTGCGCTACTTCCTTGCTCGAGAGTTGCAGCAGCGTGGTCAGCTTCGTCTTGCTTACGTGGCCTCTTAGGCCAACACTGCTGATATCTTCACCAAGGCCCTTGGGTCTGGTGATCATCAGCGTTTCTGTACTGTTCTAGGCCTTGTGCCTACTTGGTCTCACTTGCTCACTTCTTGACTTTGCTTGTACTGTGATCTATATACTTATACCTGTATGCTTACACTTGCTAGGTTGTGATCACTGTACTGCTTGTTCTCCTTTATATAACTTTGCATGTGAACTGGCCTTGTGGCCATTTGCTTGTGCTCAGAATGCGTGGTGACTTCGTGATCCACCTTGAGCTTGCTTTGCTTTTCTTGACCAGTCTTGTGACATCTTGTTCTCCCCCACTTTGCCTCTGGGGTGTGTCAAACTTATATGCTGCTTATTGTGTAGGCTATAGTGGGGTAGCCCATATGGGGTACAACCCAATTAGGGTTTCCTACTTGTACCCATCTTACTGCTAGTTCATTCATTCTCGTTCTTAATTTTGACAAAATTTAGCATTATATGTTGTCCCTAAAAAAAATCATCGTCCTCGTGGTGATTCTTCATGGCAAAATGTTCTCATCTCTAGCTCAGCTGCTCATTTATCGAACCCTGCGCAGCGTGAACATAGTTGAACATTTCGAATACGGATATAACTAATAAGGGGGGGGGGGGGAATCGTACAGAGAGGCGATATAGTCCAACGCATGAACATTTCGCATCTTTAATAACACAAACATTCACCAGGAAGTTTGCTGTCAGAAATAGTAGCATTCTCGGCAAGCCACTCCGCGCATCTTCTCTCTCCCAGCTCAAAAGTTTTTGGGCCACGTGCCAACCTTGTACAGCTTGGTGCCACCCATCCGCTTGAGATCCCGCATGCGCCCCGCCAGGTTTCGAGACGCCTCCTTGGGAAACTCGGTGCATAGCTCTTCGCACTCGCCGATCGAGCCGCCATACTTATGGCCCGCCTGCGGCTCCTCGCTTAGGGTGATGGTGTGCGAAACGGGGCGACCGTCCTCATCCACGTCGTCGAAGACGATAGTGCAGTTACCATCATCAATCTTCTCCTAGAACGGATTCAGGTTCGGACTAAGGCCTGCCTCAAACATGTCACCGTACTCGATGAAGTGGTGGCGGATGTATGTTAATGTATGATTCACTTCCTGAGTGACGAGTGTTACATCCACCCGTATCGGGCATACACATTGGACTGTAAAAGGCTTATGAACTTGCATCACGGTACACTGCAAGCACCAATGCAAATCACTTAGTGTCGAAACCAAAACTCTAGAGCTATGGAAAATCACTATGTTAAGTACTCACCGTTTTGCGTTGGAAAACTTGTTCAAAATGTTGAACTCGCCCAGCATGTCCGCCAGGAAATACGGGCTGTAATAAAACTTCAGCGTTTGCATGGTCGCCGCCATTTGTGCCAGAACTCAATTATGACAACGACAGCCGCCCCCAAAATCTTGCATAGCCCTGCTATCGCGTTCGAAAGCCGCTTGATGTTGTACATACCATGATGCTGGAGGTTCGTAATGTGGAAAACCTCTTGTGATACGGTGAGGATCGTCCCACAATGTCGCCCATTGCTCGAACTACCGCGTCAGTCATGATGAAGTCGGGGAACCACCACACTGCCATCCTTCCCCAACATCACCGACGCGCCATCGGTACTCCGACGATCGTACGTAGTCCGATGCCGAGCGTCTCAAGATGCGACAGAAGTTGAGAAATAAGAGACGCAACGTCACACTTGTCGACTGTCAGTAAGGCTAAGAACTTCATCACCACCGTACGGTTCTTTGGAAACATGGCAAACGCAATCATGTGTTTGCCGCGCGCGCGATTCGTGCTATCGTCAATGATACACCCAATGAAGGGTGAAGCGTGCTGATGTTGCAGCTGCTGGCTGTGCAAGTAGATCGTTAAAGCGCGAACCATTTTGCGGAAGCTGTTCTTGCGATTACGCACAAAGAAATAAAGGGCATTAGAGTCTTTTAACACATAATGTCCCACAAACAACTGTTGTAACCGTTTACATCAACTTACTCGGTGATGTAAACCCCGTATGTTTGGCGCCGTCTAGAGATCTCGGCCACTCTTCCCGCTTCGCCCGTATCTTGCATTGTCCTCCCATGCTCGCTGCAAACGTTGCATCGCAAATATGGAACAGAGTCGGATGTGTGATCAAGAATAAGCCATGGAAACGTGGAAAGCTAATACACCGCGTAACACTTCAGCGCTTTTAGAAAGGCCTTCGCAAGCTTCTCCTCGTCGGACAGCGGACGAAGTGGCAATGGCGCGGACTGGACAGTTGGTTCCGCAACGACGAGTTGCATGGCCGGTAGGGTTCCGAACGGGAGTACAGATTGCGTAAATCGACGTTTACATGCCGAATTGCATTTGAACCTGACGCCAGCAACTCGGTCGGCACATGAATGCTGTATGAAGAGCTGGCGACGGCATTATCCTGGGTCAAAATTACACGTTCCTCGCTGCACGAAGATGGCCCCTGAGCTACACGAGTGGGAGGCTTGTGAATGGAGCGCAAATAATCGAGGGGGAGCAACTAGACGCGTCTCTGCAAACGGTATCATTCGGTTCGTCATCCTCGGACGCCATAGCTTCACCAGGCATCGAAATCTATGCTACGGAAAGCCCCTCGCAACACTGTGATGGCATGGAAATTGGGATAGGACAGGCTCAGAACTAGCCGGGCTTCTCGCTTTGAAATGAAGACAGAAGTAGGGTTCACCCCCATCAGCAGCTCAACATCACAAAGCTATGATGGAGGTGTTATAGTCTGCAGTCCACTTAGGGGTCGCGGATGCCCATGAAACCGCCTAAGCAGAATCTGACGTCTTCAAACCGCCTCTGTTCAAAACGCCGTGACGATCAGCTCCGAGAACATACGAGGCTGAAACTTGGACAGCGGTTAGCCTTAGGTGTCTGCTTTCCAACGGTATATTACTTGCTATTATCAGAGGTGTGTGCACTACGCAGTGAACGAAAACGTAAGCTCGGCTGAAAAAACGTGTATTCTCATTGATGCAAGGAAGAGGTGAGTACAACATTGCCTAGGGGACTCATAAGGGGTTGGGTCATCCTGGGAACTCAGAGAAGGTTGAGTCCTAGGGGAGAAAGGCTAGAGAAGAATGGGAAACGTCCTAGCTAGGTCAGCAAAGCCAACCACACTTGGATGTTCAGAGCTGTACTCAAGGCTACCAATAGTGAGTCAAGCCAACATGAGTCAGCTTGTCTTCCCACTTGCACCCTCTTGCAAGTTGCTTCCAGGAAGACCACACTTCTCAAAAGGAGGGTTGTAGAGTCCCACTTGACCACCTGTACTTCTTGTCTCATTCTCTGTCCCTGCACCATTGGCATGACAACAATGAAAGGGTGGCAAGGGAAATGCTGCCAACAGTGCACCATGACTACGGAACAGTGAATTTCGGCAGCTGTCACGCAATGCTCAGATGTTGGATCGTTCTGAAACTTGGTGACCACTTGCACAGCGGGGCAAAGGACTTCCAGACCGAATTTCAGACCAATCAGATCTCGGTAGACGAGTCAGCAGCCGAAATGGTGAACTCGGGTGTTACCAAAAAGGAGTAACACACACTTCCGGGATGCCATAAGTCTTGAAACATAAAATGTTGTCATGCCTTGGTAACTGCTTCAAAACCTCTGAAACTTTGAGGGTTTGAAGAACACGTGTTGAACAACCTCCCCACAAAATTCCAGAAGCTGAGCAGGCTTGTAGGCCGAATGGGAGTGCGATGACCGTGCCACTGTAATGTGTTGGCACAACAAACTCCCCCTCATCGTGCTCTCATTCATCCCTTAGCTGCTCCCTGAAGCTGCCTCCCTTAGTTGAAGGACATGCCACACAAGGTGGCGCAGGTCCAATGCTGATGCTCTGCAAGCCGCTTCGTCAAAAAATCTGCAGGTTGCTTGGTAGTGTTGATGTAGTGCAAGGAGACCGTGCCCTTCTTCACCTCCTTCCTCACCCAATGCCATTTGATATGCATGTGCTTGTTCAGCCCATGGAGCACAGCATTGCGAGCCATTGCAATTGCTCCTTGGCTGTCACAAAACACAGGTGTAGGACCCTCTTGCTCCTGCCCCAACTCCTCAAGCAACCTCCTCATCCAAACCACCTCCTTCACCCCATGAAACAACGCCATGTACTCGCTCTCCGTTGATGAGTGAGCTATCTCCCCTTGCTTCTTAGACTTCCAGCTCACTGGACTCCCTCCAACACAGCATACATAGCCACCGTGGGATGTTGCATCACTGATGTCACTTGCCCAGGTAGCATCGGTGAAGCACGAGAGGTACAAGTGTCCACGCCTTGCAGGTGCACCGGTCTTCGTGCTCACCTCCTCCACTCCCTTTTGCTTCAGCTGCCCATGCACTGAATATTGCAGCCCCACCCTTGAGGTTGCCATGCAGTACCTCACCAGCCTCTCTGCTGCATCAAGGTGCTCTTGAAGGGGCCTAGACACCACACGAGCCAGCTGCGAAACCGCGAATGAAATATCGGGGCGAGTGTTGACCGAAGCATACATCAAGCTCCCCACCATTGACTGGAATCGACGCTGCAACTCGGGCTCCAACACCTCACCCTCCTCTTCATCAAGGTGTAGCTGAAATCCTGAGGGTAGTGGAGTCTTTACACTCCTCCCTTCCTCCAGCCCATACCTCTCCCCCATGGCTGCAAGGTACTTGTGTTGGTGAAGCCTCAACCATCCCTTCACCTCGTCCCGCTCCACGTGAAGACCAAGGTAATACCCCACTGGTCCAAGGGCCTTGCATTGAAAGGTCTCCTTCAGCTTCCCTTGCACCTCCTTGATCCTCTCCAGGGATGGAGATAAGAGGAGAATGTCATCGACGTAGACAAGGAGAAACACTTTCTCCTCATCCCCCTCGGTTATGAAGAGACTCTCGTCGCACCCGCTAACTTTGAAGCCAAGAGCCTCCAACGCCTCCACCAGCCTTGCATACCAGCACCTTGGAGCTTGTTTGAGGCCATAGATGGCCTTGTTGAGCCTGCAAACACGTCCGCTCCCATCGTCGTACCCCTCTGGCTGCTTCATGTAAATCTCCTCATCTACCACGCCATAGAGGAAAGCCGTCTTCACATCCATTTGCTCCACCTTCCAACCACAAACGGCAGCTGCTGCCAGCAACACCCGGAGCGTAGGAGCCTTGGCAACAGGAGCAAACACCTCCTTAAAGTCAACCCCCTCCCTCTGCTGGAAACCCTTGATCACAAGTCTTGTTTTGCGCCTCTCCAACTTCCCCTCCGCATCGGTCTTCACACGTAATATCCACGTGCAATCCAATGCCTTTCTTCCCGGGGGCAGATTGGTGAGGGTCCACGTTCCATTCTCCATGAGGCTCTTAAACTCATCCTCCCTTGAAGCCAACCAAGCGTCTCGATCATCTCCAGCAAGTGCTTCCTCCATCGAAGCCGGTTCATGAGGTAAGTTGACACCGAAGCAACAAATCTGCTCCATCTCTCCCTCGGCTCCCTTCTCCTCATCATCGTCCTCCTCCTGGACCAGCAATGCCTTGGGACCCCCAAGCCTTTCATACTTGAGGAAATCCCTTGGGTGAGCAGCTCTTTTGGGCCTCTCCTTGGCTGCACTCTCCTTAGCTCCACCACGGACAGCACCACGCTTCCCTTGGGTTGTCCGCCTTGGTGGAAGAGTAGGGGATGGTGTAGGCTGCTGCACCTCCTCCTCGGCATCACCTCTCTCAGCTACAGGGGCCTTCTGTTGCTGCAACACTCCCTCCACCTCTGCTGCCTCCCCTTCAGCACCTCCCAAGTCATGTGACACCTCCGTTACCTCTGAAGACGAAGACAACTCGATGGGAATGAAGAGTGGGTCATTCGTTCCCACCTCTATTCCGAGCGGAATGGTGACCTTGCTCCTCCCTCGCTCCAACCACTCCTTGAACATGAGCCCCTCCATGAACTTGGCATCTCTGGTGGTGAAGATGGTGTTGGCTATTGGGTCCCACATGAGCCATCCCTTGCTCCCTTGTGCAAGTCCCAAATGAACAGCCCACACCGCCGCCGCTTGAAGCTTGTCACGCTTTTCCTTAGGGACGTGCACGAGTCCCATGCACCCAAAGACTCGAAGCATATCCACCAGAGGCTTCTTGCCCCTCCATTTCTCCATAGGGATCCAATGCTGCCCTCCCACATGAGTCAATACTCGGTTCTTGATGACGGTGGCATGGCGAATAGCGAGGGGCCAGAACCGTAAGGGTAGACCCGAGTCTACCAACATCGTTCTCCCGCCCTCCAAGATGGTCCGGTTCGCTCTCTCTGCCACGCCATTGGATTGAGGGGTGTAGGCCGTGGTGAGCTGCTGCTTGATGCCATGCCGCTTCAGCCAGCTCCGGAACTCCGCTCCCAAGAACTCCCCACCACGGTCACTACGTATCGCCTTCACCCGCTTGCCGCTCTCTCGCTCCACCATGGGCAGCCACTCTTCAATGATGACCCTTGCAGCATCACTCTTCTTTGCAAGTGGAAAGGACCAGGTGAGCCTTGTGTTGTCATCCACCATGGTCATAGAATACAGGGCCCCACCATCTCCCTTCACCTTCATGGGTCCCACGAGATCCACATGCACGAGCTCCACCGGGTCACTCGACTCCCCCTCCACCGAATGGAAGGGAAACCGTGAAAACTTGCTGGTCAAGCAAGTCTCACAAGATCCCACCTCCTTGGGCTCCCCCTTTATCCTCAGCCCCTTGACTCTTTCCTCCTTAAACAGCTGCTGCAACTGAGGTAGCGCCACGTGGCCAAAGCGACGGTGTGCGGTGAGCCAATCCGTCTCACCCGTGCTAGGAGTTACACTTGGAAGCGCAGCCCCTCCATGCCCAAGGAGCCCACCATCACTGTCATCACCACCCCCTCCATTGTCCACGTGGTTAACACGCCCTCCTCTCACATCTCCAGCAGCCAAGCGCGCAGCCGCCTCCTTCCATGGCAGCACCGGTATCTCCCACATGGACCGGTGCATGTCCTTGCCGCCTCGGAGGTCCCACAATACGCGCCCATCCAGAGTTGCCTTGAAAACCTTTGTGCCCAACATCTCCATCTTCATCCCTGCCTCACTTAGGGCCTTGGTAGAGAGGAGGTTGGCACACAATCCAGGAACAAGGAGAACACGCTTCAGCCCCACAAGCCTCCCATCCGCACCCATGAACATGGCTCTCCCCTCGCCACGCACGGGTACAACTTGGCCGGTGGCTGAAACGACGGTGGCTGCCTTTGATGGCCTAACTTCATCCAGTAGATCCTCTCGGTTGGTCATGGTCATGAAGGCTCCCGTATCGATGACCCAATGGGAGGAGCGGTGAAGAGCAATCTTGCTGGCCGGCACAACCATGTCCTCGGGGCACGCCTCCCCTACATGGTAGAACATGCCGCCGTATCCGCCAGCACCTCCTTCGCCCTCCTCACTGCCCATGCCTTCTCCCATAGCTCCATGAACACCCTTGGAGCCCTCAATTGATGGCTGACCAGGCCTCCAACCGTCAGGTAGCTTGCGGCACTTGAACCATGGGTGCCCTTCCACATGGCAATACCAACACTTGCCGCCACACCGCTTGCCTCCCTTGTTGCCACGCTTCCCTCCCGAATGCTGCTCCCCTCCAGAGCCTTCCTTGGCCTTCCCTTTCTTGCTGCCACGCCCCTTGAAGCCCTTCATGCCATAGGCAGAGCCTCCACCTTCACCGGCAGCGGCGGTCAGCTCCTTCCTCCGAAACTCCTCTTGAAGAACTTGTGCGCGAATCCACTCAAGGGACCACGAGTCCTTCATCCCATTAAGGTTGACCACCAAGGGCCCCCACGACTCCGGCAGCAGGGAGAGAGCCTTGTAGCACTTGATTTTCTCAGGGTAGTCCACACCAGCAGCTGAGAGCTTCACATAGAGGTCCCGGAGTTGATCGAACGCTCCTTGTACGGCATCACCCTCGTTGATCTTCACCGCATGGAGTTGTCGCTCGAGCACCACCACCATTGCTTCGCTGCTGGGGGCATGGACATCCTTCAATATCCTCCATGCCTTAGGACCACACTCAGCTTCCTTGATGAGATGCTTGATGTGGTGCAGCTGGTTGGATGAGAGGCATTGGGAGAGAAGGAAGAATCCATCCTTGGACCGGCGATCCCATTCTTTGGTCGCTCCTTCGCTCGTAGGCCTCTTGAATTCTCCATCCATCACTTCAAGCAGCCCATAATGGTTGAAGAGGAGCTCCATCCTGAAGCTCCATGATGCCCAATCATCCCCAGAGAACTTCTCCAGGTTGAATGCCTTCACATCATCCTTAGCTGATGTTGAAACTGAAGCCATTGGCGCAGATCCGCCTGCAACACCTCTTCCCGCTTCCCCAGCGCCTCTCACGCCACCACTGCCATTGGGACCAGCTGGAGCAGAACCTTCAGCCTCCATTTTCACCCACGAACAGAGTAGAACACCTCTGATACCACTTGTTATAGTCTGCAGTCCACTTAGGGGTCGCGGATGCCCATGAAACCGCCTAAGCAGAATCTGACGTCTTCAAACCGCCTCTGTTCAAAACGCCGTGACGATCAGCTCCGAGAACATACGAGGCTGAAAGTTGGACAGCGGTTAGCCTTAGGTGTCTGCTTTCCAACGGTATATTACTTGCTATTATCAGAGGTGTGTGCACTACGCAGTGAACGAAAACGTAAGCTCGGCTGAAAAAACGTGTATTCTCATTGATGCAAGGAAGAGGTGAGTACAACATTGCCTAGGGGACTCATAAGGGGTTGGGTCATCCTGGGAACTCAGAGAAGGTTGAGTCCTAGGGGAGAAAGGCTAGAGAAGAATGGGAAACGTCCTAGCTAGGTCAGCAAAGCCAACCACACTTGGATGTTCAGAGCTGTACTCAAGGCTACCAATAGTGAGTCAAGCCAACATGAGTCAGCTTGTCTTCCCACTTGCACCCTCTTGCAAGTTGCTTCCAGGAAGACCACACTTCTCAAAAGGAGGGTTGTAGAGTCCCACTTGACCACCTGTACTTCTTGTCTCATTCTCTGTCCCTGCACCATTGGCATGACAACAATGAAAGGGTGGCAAGGGAAATGCTGCCAACAGTGCACCATGACTACGGAACAGTGAATTTCGGCAGCTGTCACGCAATGCTCAGATGTTGGATCGTTCTGAAACTTGGTGACCACTTGCACAGCGGGGCAAAGGACTTCCAGACCGAATTTCAGACCAATCAGATCTCGGTAGACGAGTCAGCAGCCGAAATGGTGAACTCGGGTGTTACCAAAAAGGAGTAACACACACTTCCGGGATGCCATAAGTCTTGAAACATTAAATGTTGTCATGCCTTGGTAACTGCTTCAAAACCTCTGAAACTTTGAGGCCTGGCACGGAGCACAGCGCGCTGTATCTGGCCTCCGTGCGAATGCAGATGAATGTGTGTTGGCAGGGAATATGCCACTAAGGAGAGGTTTAGCATGGAGAAAACTTGGTGGTGGGTGATGGCAACAAAACGAACCAATCACCGGTAAAACATTTGCCAGCGAGGCTAATACATATGGATGAAATCATGTGCGGCATGCGTAAAGGGGGGACAGGGGTATGTCAAGAAGTGTATCCTCTTTAAAAAGAAAAAACCATGGCTCATTAGTGTTGTTAAAACGAAATGCCTGATATGTCAGGTCACATCGTCTAATAATATAGTTACTACTGTTATAGATGTTGGTGGTGCAGTTTTGCCATGTTTGTATATTTTTCCCCTTCCCATTCTAATCAACACCTCTTTGCTCTCGTAACTTTCCCGAACTCCTAAACCTAGTAGTGCCTTTTTTACATGGTTTAAGAGCAGGGTCATCCTAGAGCCAGACTAAGTTTCTATTGCCTCGCTCTCTCATGGCGCCCCAATGGGTGCTCGTCGCGCGCGCATTGCTCCCTGTGCCGCCCTCTTCGCCCCACACTGCGGCCCCTCGCACCTACCGCGGCTGTAGCGAGCGCCCGCGGTCGTGCCCTTCCTCTGCGTCAGCCTCCGCACCGCCCGCATGCCGCACCTGTGGCGGGAATGATGCGCGCCCAGCTGCAGATGCTGCTGGGGAGGGGGGGAGGTTGCGGGGGTGGTGGTCATGAGCCTGCAACGCCAGCCGTCTGCTGCACCTGCCTCGCCCGCCACGTGACGGACGCGCGCACTGTGTCAAACATATGTATATGTTATATATGTGGGTAGGCTGTAGTCGGGTAGATAATGTGGGGTATAACCCCTTAGGGCTTTCTCCTTGTACCCAACTTTCTCGATAGTGCAACCCACCTTTTCCCTTTACTCTCGACATGGTATTAAGAGCAACATAGGTCCTTAGGACCGTTTTAGGACTGTTTTTCAGGGCCCACCAACCGTTTTTTACGGCCTTGCCTGCCTGCCTGCCTTGCCTGCTGCCCGCGCGCGCCTCGGCTGCACGCGCGCGGCCCTTTTTTTTTCCCGCGAGCGCCGCTTAAGCCGCCCGCGCGCAGCCCGATTAGGCCCCGCGCGCCGCGTCCGCCGCCCGCGCAGCCCGTTTTCGGCCCCGCGTGCCGCGTCAGCCGCTCGCGCAGCCTGCCGCCGGCCCGCGCGCCGCGTACACCGCCTGTGCAGCCCGCTGCTGCCCCGCGCGCCGCCTTAGGAGCCCGCGTGCGGCCCGCTGCTGCACCGAGCGCCGCTTTAGAGGCCCACGCGCGGCCCACTGCTGCCCTCCATACTGCCTTAGGAGTCCGTGCGCCGCCCCTGCAGTCCGTGCGCCGCCACTGCAGCCTTGCACGCAGCCTCTCCTTACTTGCCTTTTGCCTTGCCGCCACTGCGCACTAGACTTGCCGTTCGATCCTGACGGTCACCCAGTAGAGTTTACCACCTGGCTTGACGGCCTGCAACTGTTCCTTCTGACTGATGCCAAGGACGGTGTTTCCCTGTTCGATTACGTGTCTGGCACTGCCGTTGCTCCTGCTGACACTGCGCCTGCTCTAGACCGCTCCCAGTGGCAGACCCGTGATGCTGCTGCGCGCCTCGCTATTCGCAACCATCTGCCGATCACAGAGCGCGCACATTTTAGCCAGCACAAGACTGCCAAGGCACTGTACGACGCTGTAGTTGCCCGCTACTCTTCCCCGGCCACTGCAGCCCTCGGTCGACTTATGCTACCCTATCTGTTCCCCGACCTGTCCTCGTTTACCACCGCTGAGGACCTCATCTCTCACCTGTGCGCTAGTGACACTCGCCTTCGTGCCGCCCTTCCAGCCGAGTTCCTCGCAGAGAACCGCCCCCCGATGTACTTTACTCTCTACTTCCTCATCACCCGCCTCCCTGACACTCTTCGCTCAGTCAGGGACCACTTCCTCGCCCTTGACCCCCATTCTCTCACTGTCCACGACCTTGAGAAGCACCTCCTAGCAGCCGAGAAGAACATTCTAGCTGTAGGTGCTGCTCGTGGTACTCCCCGCACTCCCCTCTTTGAGGGGTGCTCCCCCTCCCCTCTTACCCCCTCCTACGCCTCCGCAGCTGCTGCTGTCGACCTCCTTGGTGCTGAGAAGGTCGCAGCTGCTTCCGCTCCGAGTGGGAAGCGCAGCAGCTTCAAGGGAGGCAAGGGTGGCAGGGGTGGCGGACGTGGCGGTGGAGGGGGCGGTGGTGGAGGCGGCGGGGGCGGTGGAGGTAGTGGCGGTGGTCGTGGGGGTGGAGGTAGTGGTGGGGGCGGTGGTGGTGCCGGGAGCAGTGGCGGTGGCAGCGGCGGTGGTGGCGGAGGGGGGAGTGGTGGTGGCGGCGGTGGTGGGGGCTTGGGTGAGGCCGGTGGTGGCCAGGGACAGCAGCAGCAGCAGCAGCAGCAGCAGCGTCAGCGCCAGACCCCCACTTCCCAGCAGCTTCTTGACTGGTATGCCGGGCGTGGGGCGTCTGGGGGTCCTGGTCGCTGCCCCTATATTATTCACTCAGGTCCCCGCGCTGGTCGCCAGTGCACCGGCTTTCACACTGAGTACCGCTGCTTCGCTCAGCTTAGTGACGCCTGGCGCGTCAAGTTTCCTGATGCTACTGAGTTCCCCAACTGGGCAGACCTGCTTAGGCGTGATGTACCTATCTTTGATCTTGACTATGATGCTATCCTTGTTGCCATGTATGCATTGACTGTTAGTGCTGAGGGTGACTGCTACTTGTGTGTGCCGCCTGACCCCGGTATAGCCCCAGGAATAGCGCCTGCAGCTCTAGGTGCTTGTGAGTTTGCTCCCCCTGGTACTGCGTCCGCACAGGCCTTGCACACCTTTACACTTTACTCTGGTGCTTCCCGCTGTTTCTTTCGCGACAGCACCACAGTCACTCCCCTCCCTGCACCTGTCCCTGTCTCACTGGCTGACCCCTCAGGGGGCCCAGTGCTTGCACGGTCTTCCACTGTGCTTCCGTGTCCGGCGGTCCCGTCTGGTGAGCTGTCTGGTCTCCACCTCCCCTCGTTCTCTACGAACTTGGTGAGCAACGTCGTCCTTCAGGATCATTGGGTTGACACCTTTACTCCTGGAGGGCAGCGTGTGGCGATCTGCACGTGCTCTCGGTCCACCTGGCCACGTTCACACGTACGCCTGGGTCCAGTCTGTACACCCTCACCACTGCGTCGCGCTCCACCCCTTTGTCTCCCCAGCTGTACGCGTCTGCTCAGGTAGCTACCCAGTGTGAGTGTCGCTGCCTGTCGCACGACACTCTCCTGTGGCACCACCGCCTTGGTCACCCCTCCCTGCCTCGCCTTCGTAGCATGCACTCTCGCTACCTGGTCTCTGGCCTTCCCAGGTCTCTGCCTGCCCTCCCTCCCTCGCCTGCGCCGCCCTGCATTCCCTGCGTCGAGGGGCGGCAGCGCGCCGCTCCTCACTCCTCCTCGTTCCCTCCCACAGAGGCTCCCCTGCAGACTCTCCACCTGGACGTGTGGGGCCCAGCCCGCGTCCGTGGACAGGGCCACCACCACCACTCCCCCCTCCGCCACCACCGCCGCCGCCACCGCTCCCGGCACCACCACCGCCCCCACTACCACCTCCACCCCCACGACCACCCCCACCACCTCCACCTCCCCCTTCGCCTCCACCACCGCCCCCTCCACCGCCACGTCCGCCACCCCTGCCACCCTTGCCTCCCCTGGAGCCGCTGCGCTTCCCACTAGGAGCGGAAGCAGCTGCGACCTGCTCAGCACCGAGGAGGTCGACAGCAGCAGCTGCGGAGGCGTAGGAGGAGGTAAGAGGGGAGGGGGAGCACCCCTCAAAGAGGGGAGTGCGGGGAGTACCACGAGCAGCACCTACAGCTAGAATGTTTTGTCAGAATGTTATAATTGTCTAGCCTGTAGTGGGGTACTCCATAGTGAGTACAGCCCAATTAGGGTTTGCTATATGTATCCAACTGCTTGCTAGTGAAACCCCTCCTTTCTTGATTCTTGTTTCTACTGCTAGTTCTGACATGCTATCAGAGCAGGTCGACCCCCTTGGGTCGATCCTGTGGGTGGGCCCACCACCTAATGCTTCCGCTGCTTTCCTTCCTGTCGTGCGCCTCGGGCGCGCGACGACTTCTTCCTGCCGTGCGCTCGGGGCGCGCAGCGGTTTTCTGCCCGCCGAGTGCCCCGTGGCGCGCGGCGGTTTTCTGCATGGCGCGCCCCCCGTCGGCCCTCGCGTCGCCTCAGGGGATCCGCGCGCGCCCCCCGTCGGCTCTCGCGCTGCCCCGCTGGACCCGCGCGCGGCACCCCGTCGACCCTCGCGTCGCCTCCGGGGACCCGCGCGCGCCCCCCGTCGGCTCTCGCGCCGCCCCGCTGGACCCGCGCGCGGCACTCCGTCGACCCTCGCGTCGCCTCCGGGGACGCGCACGCGACCCCCGTCGACCCTCGCGTCGCCCCCGGGGACCCGCGAGCCGCCCCTGGAGCCGTGCGCGACCCCCCCGCTGCCCCGTCGCGGCGCCCTGGGGGGCCGCGCGCGGCCCCTCGCTGCCCCATGGTGGCGCCCTGGGGGCCGCGCGCCTTCCCCCTCGCCGTCCCCCGCGCTCCTTCCCCGTGCCACCCGTTTTAGGGTTTGGGGGTGGGGAGTGTGGGGGTGGCGGTTGTGGGGGTGCCGGTTGTGAGCGATGTCCCCTACTCCTCCTCCTCCTCCGTCTCCCGCTACTGCAGCTGCCGCTCAGGGGGGTGGGTGTGTGGGGAGCCGAAGGCGTGGTGCTAGGGGGGTGACGGGGGAGTGGAGCTAGGGGTGCAGCAGGGGGTGTGTGGAAAGGGGGTGGGACTGTTTGGGGAGGTTGCGCGGAGGTAGCCGTCGTGTCGCCAGCAGCGCCAGTAGTCCGGAGCCCTTGCTCTCGGTAGCCCAGCGAGCCTGCTGCGCCAGTCGCCTGTGGGTCCGTAGCTCCTGCCGCTCGTCGTAGCAGCGGAGTCTGTTACTCCAGTATTCCAGGGCCCTTGCTCCGGTAGCCACTGTGCCAGCCTGCACCAGTCGCCTGTGGGTCCGTAGCTCCTGCCGCTCGTCGTAGCAGCGGAGTCTGTTACTCCAGTATTCCGGGGCAGAACAGGGAGTACCACGAGCAGCACCTACAGCTAGAATGTTTTTCTCGGCTGCTAGGAGGTGCTTCTCGAGGTCGTCGACAGTGAGAGAATGGGGGTCAAGGGCGAGGAAGTGATCCCTGACTGAGCGAAGAGTGTCAGGGAGGCGGGTGATGAGGAAGTAGAGAGTAAAGTACATCGGGGGGTGGTTCTCTGCAAGGAACTCGGCTGGAAGGGCGGCACGAAGGCGAGTGTCACTAGCGCGTAGGTGAGAGATGAGGTCCTCAGCGGTGGTAAACGAGGACAGGTCGGGGAACAGGTAGGGTAGCATAAGTTGACCGAGGGCTGCAGTGGCCGGGGAAGAGTAGCGGGCAACTACAGCTTCGTACAGCGCCTTGGCAGTCTTGTGCTGGCTAAAATGCGCTCGCTCTGTGATCGGCAGATGGTTGCGAATAGCTAGGCGCGCAGCAGCATCGCGGGTCTGCCACTGGGAGCGGGCTAGAGCAGTCTCAGTGTCAGCAGGAGCAACGGCAGTGCCAGACACGTAATCGAACAGGGAAACACCGTCCTTGGCATCAGTCAGAAGGAACAGTTGCAGGTCGTCAAGCCAGGTGGAAAACTCTACTGGGCGACCGTCAGGATCGAATTCGAGCACATTAAGCGTCGCCATAGTAGCAGTGCAGGCAAGGCAGCTCAAGGCAGGCAGGCACTCAAGGCAGGCAGGCGCTCTTGTCAGGCAGGCACTCAAGGCAGGCTCTCCAGGCAGGTTAAGACAGGCAGGCGCGCGGCTCACGGGCGGCACACTGGCAGGGCACGCGTGGCTGAGGGCTGCGCGTGGCTGTGGGCTGCGTGTGGCTGCTGGCTGCGCGTGGTGACGGGCTGCGCGCGGGTGTGGGCTGCGCGCGGCTTCTGGCTGCGCGTGGCGACGGGCTGCGTGCGGCGGGGCCTATGCGGGCTGCGCGCGGGCTGCACACCGGAGGAGGCGACGCGCAAGGCCGGCGGCAGGCTGCGCGGGCGGCTGACGTGGCGCGCGGGGCCGAAAACGGGCCTAAACGGGCCTAAACGGGCCGCGCGCGGGCTGCTTAAGTGGCGCGCGCGGGAAAAAAGAGGGGCCGCGCGCGTGCAGCCGAGGCGCGCGCGGGCAGTAGGCAAGGCAGGCAGGCAAGTGAGGTAACGTGGTAACGGGTGGGCCCTAATCTTAGGTCCTAAAGACCTCTAGGCTCTAGATACCATCTTAGAATCTAGGCATGAGTGAAGTTGACTATCGAGAGAATTGGTACAAGGAGAAAACCCTAAGGGGTTATACCCCACAGTATCTACCCCACTACAGCCTACCCACAAATATAACATATGCATATCTTTGACAGAGTAGAGGAGAGCTTGGCATGGCACTCGCGGGGAGCCTGCTTGAGGCCATACACAGGGCGCTTCAGCTCCCAAACAGTGCCTGGAGGGAATGGGCGAGGAAAACCGGCGGGGCGCTCAAGGAAAATGCGCTCATGAAGCTCGCCCTGAAGGAAAGCATTGAAAACATCCATAGAATGGATCTCCCAATCCCAGCGAGCACCTAGGTCAAGAAGGAGGCGAAGGGTGGGGAGACGAGCAGTGGGAGAGTAAGTGGCAAAGTAGTCAATGCCTTCACGCTGGGTATAGCCTTTGGCGCAATAGCGGGCTTTGAAGAGAGGAAGCTCCCCAGGAAACTGCTTAACACGAAAGACCCATTTGCCCTTGACAATGGTGGCGCCAGGGGGGGGGACAGAGTCGACGTAGGAATTGGTACAAGTGAACGCCTCAAACTCAGCAACGATGGCAGCCATCCACTCAGTGGCGTGAAAGCCAGAAACGACCTCGGAATAGGACTGAGGGATGGGAATGGCGGCAGTGTCGGCAGAGAGAAGAGTGGGTGAATTGCTAAAGTCGCCGATGGTGACACAGAGAAGAGGGGAGACAGGGTGAACAGAGAAGAGTTCCTCAAACCGATCTTCGAGAAGATTGGGGTCCTGAGAGGAAGATAGAAGAGTGAAAAGAGCGGAGTGTTGAAAATTGGACATTGCGCGGGTCATGGAGCGAGTGAGGCGCGAAGAGGGTGGGGGAATAGGAACAGAAGGAAGGGAAGCATCTGGAGGTGGCGATGGAGAGGGCATGGGAGCTGAAGAGGAAGAGGCAGGAGGAGAGTTGCCAGAGGTGACGGCGGAAGGAGGGGCGGAAGGGGCAGGCGGGAGAGGTGGAGCAGGGGCGAGGGGAAGGGGAGGTGGGGAGGGAATAGCAGAGGGAGCAGCGGAGGGACGCGGATCAAAGTCAGACCAATGGAGAAAAGGAGTAGGAGGGGTGGGAGGGCGGGTGAGGAATGGAGAGCGAGTCTCGTCAAAGATGACATCCTGGCTGCGAATGAGCTGCTGAGAGGAGGGAGCATAGAAAAGGTAGACAGGGCAATCAGAGTTGATGCCAATAAATGCACAGAGCTGCGTCTTAGGAGCGAGTTTCCCACCCTGACGTGCCTGATCAGCTGGATTGACGAGGACATGAGCGACACAGCCCCACACCCGAAGAGGGCGAGCAGAGGGCTGGCGGCCCGTCCAGAGCTAAAAGGTGGTAATGATGGGGCGAAGGGGATGAGGGCGAAGGTTGGAGAGAAGAGTTGCGTGAACAAGAGCATAGCTCCAAAGAGAGTGGGGAGCGGAAGCATGGGTGAGGAGACATCGAGTGATCTCCATGAGAGTGCGATTACGACGCTCGGCAACACCATTCTGTTCAGGAGAGTGTGGGAGGGTCGAGGTTTGGCGAATGCCATGAGATGAGCAGTAAGAGGAGAGAGAATGATTAAAGAACTCGCCACCACCATCGGAGTGGAAACGCGCGACAGGACGCCCGAAGCGAAGGCGAGCCTGTTCAGCCCAACGAATGATGGGGGAAGGGGCGTCAGATTTGGCACGAAGGGGATAGACAGTGGCAAAGCGAGAATGGTCATTAATGGGAAGGAGTTAGTAACGATGACCTTGTCGGGAGGCAATTGGGGAGGGACCCCAAAGGTCCATATGCACGAGATCAAGAGGCTGGGGGGAGGCAGAAGGGGAAGAAGGATGAGGAGACTGAGAGACTTTGGCTTGAACACAAGGAGTGCATAGAGGGGCAGGAGAGGGAGGAAGGGGAGGGAGAGAGGAGGGAAGATCATGAAGCAGCTTCGAATGGACCATGATGCGAAGGAGAGGGAAGTTTGGGTGGCCGAGACGATGATGGAGAAGAAGGGTAGGTTGGGTGAGAGAGCGACAGTCGCAAGAGGAAATGGGTGGAGCGGAAGCAGGGGAAGTGTGATGCGCAGACGAGGGGAGAGAAACACGGAGGGTATAGAGACGAGAGGTATTGGAAAGGGTGAAACGAGCGAGGTGCCGGTTTTGGTAATAAAGATCACAGTAGAGTTCACCTGCGGGGAAACTCGCTCGCACACCAAGGCATTGGAGGGCGGAGAGGGAGAGAAGGTTATGACGACAAGAGGGAACATAGAGGCCAGTGACTGCCCTGAGGGGGAGGCTGGACAGGGAAGAGAGGAGGTGCCGGTGCATGTCAGGGTCATGGTCTCCCCAGCTCCATGAATAAAGAGAGGGCGGGGAAAGTAACGAAGAACACCGGCATCACGAAAAACAGAGTCCGTAGCACCACTGTCGAGGACAAAGTCCAAGGTGCGAGGGAGAGAGAGAGCAGCAACCGTAGAGCAGGGATATGGAGAGACAACGCTAGGAGCAGAAGGAAGAAATGGCACGGCAAAGCGATGGTCCATGAGAGGAGAAGCACCAAGAATGCTAGCATAAGAAGGCATGGTCACACTGAGAGCAGAGGGAAAAGCATCAGCACCAAGAGTCGCGACGGAAAGCGATGGCGGGGCAGGGGACTGGAGACGCTGGTGAGACTGTAGAAACGAGACAGGAGGAGAGGTCCAGCGGCAAAAGGGAGAGGCGGTCCAAGTGGGAGAGAGGGGAGCGGATGACGCGTAGGGTAGGGGAAGGAGGGGTAAGGGATGAGGGACAGCAGCAGGAGGGAGAGGGCAGTAGCGGCGAGGAAGAGAGGGAGTCGCAAGAATGGGCGCCATAGGAGGGGAAGGAGACACAAGCAGAGCAGCTGAGGGGAGGAATAAGAGGCGGAGGAATATGGGCGGAGGAGTCTGCTGCTGCGCCGCTGAGGGGAGAAATAAGAGGCGGAGGAATTGGGACGGAGTAGTCTGCTGCTGAGCAGCTGAGGGGAGAAATAAGAGGCGGAGGAATATGGGCGGAGTAGTCTGCTGATGCGCCGCTGAGGGGAGAAATAAGAGGCGGAGGAATAATGGCGGAGTAGTCTGCTGCTCGCTGCTGAGGGGAGAAATAAGAGGCGGAGGAATATGGGCGGAGCAGTCTGCTGCTGCGCCGCTGAGGGGAGAAATAAGAGGCGGAGGAATAGGGATGGAGTATTATGCTGCTGCGCCGCTGAGGGGAGAAAAAAGAGGCGGAGGGAAAGTGGGAGAACAAGCACGACGACGAGACAAGGTCAGCAACCAGCTCCGGCAGATGGAGAGAGGAGAGAGGCGGAGGAGAGAGCGAGATGGGGAGGGGAAAGGAGGGAGAGAGGAGAGGAGGAGGGTGAAGGGGCGGATTGTATGGAGAAGGGTCTTGATAGAGGGGAGAGGAGTGGAGAGAGGCACAGCCACAAGGCGAAATCAGCAGCCAGCTGCTGCAGCTGAGGGGAGATAGGAGGCGGAGGAAAGGGGAAGGTTGGAGAGGGAATGAAGGGAGAGAGAGGAGGATGAGGGGAGTGAAGAGGCGAATTTCGTAGAGGGGAGTGGTGATGGCGAACAGCAGAATGCAGAAAGGCGCGCATGGGGGGGGAGGAGGCGCGCGACAGCAACGCACCCCGCGCGCGACGAGGGGAGCGGAGGGACGCGCGGGTGAGGGACGAGGGGCGGGCGGAAGCGGGAAGGAGGGCGCGCGCGACGGCAGTATGGGCCGCGCGCGACAAAAGGGAGGAGGGAGAAAGGGCGCGCGACGAGCAGCAGGTCGCGCGCTACTACTGAGGGATGTCGTGCGCCCCTACTGAGGGCGGATCCGCGATTTGGGGAGAAAAAAAAAGATTGAGAAAAAAAGAAGTAAAATCGACTAGCTAAGGGGTAGCGCGGAATGAGCTTAGGGGCCTGGAAGGTACTAAGAGATGTAGATGATGAGGAAACGCCTAGGATTTCGCTCTGAATACCATGTTAAAGTTAGGATTGTGGCAGCCATGGCTAGTGAGTGAAGTAGCGAGAGAAAAAGTTACACTAGAGAAAGTGTTGAGAGACATTTGAAAGATAGGGTTGGGAAACCCCAACTGAACCTAAACAAACTGCAAAGTGAACCTAAGATGAACCAGAAATGAAACTAAGTCTAAAAGTGGCCGAAAAAGAATATAAGGCCAAAATGAAATGCAGAGCAAACACTAGCCTACTCCAACACTCCATGGGTCACGGTGTTGTCTTTTGGGGGATGTCCTTGGTGGCAGTGTCGGTTGGCACCAGGGCCTATCATTGGTGTTGGGGGACTCTTGGGAATCAGGGTGCCTTGATGACGTCACCCTGTCTGTCAGGGTATTTTTTCTTCCACCCTGTCAAAATCAGGGTAAATTGTTTAGCACCCTGATTTGTAAGGGGAATGGGGGAATTGGGCTGGGAGGGGCAAGGGAATTGTGGGGAGGGGCTGGGAGATGCGAGGGTAATGGGGGGAGTTGAGCGGGGAATGGCGAGGGATATGGGATAAATGGGGATCGGCTGGGAGAAGTGAGGGAAATGGGGAGAGTTGTGCTGGTTGGCGTGGAGGGCGTCCCTGTGGAACAATTGGAGGCGATCGTGCTTCTCAATTGTTCCCCTACTTAGCTCTCCCGATTGTCAGCAGTGCCACACATGGCTCAGGTTATCAGTGTAATTTACCCTTCTATACTGATTATAAGGGTGAAATTTTGGGCCTACGCTGATGTGTTTGGGTAATTTTTGTTGAATTACTATTACACTGATCTGTAAGTGTAGCGATGTAGGCCACACTGATGCCTTTGGGTAAATTTTCCCTTAGCGAAAATTACACTGACGAGCGTACAAGCACCCCCCACCCTCCCCCCCCCCCCTATTCCCCGAAATTTGTCAGATCGTGATTTCCGTTAATCACTCAAGTACCGATGTTTCCTTCCGTGCAGTACGTGCGTTGGCCGCGGTCACGTTGCCGATTGGTCAGTTTTACATGTTGGCATCAACTACAGTATTGCTGCCTGAACTAGGTCTAACCACACGGACCACATTCATACTGTCGGTGCGTGGAGATGTTATCCGCGTCCCCCGCCGAGGCGCTCGTGGTGGTTCTGTCTGGATGCATTGCCGTGTTGGTTCAGCAAGCACAGCAAGCAGTTTCGCCACACACCGCCATTCCTCCTCCTCCCAAAATTCCAGTTGTTTTAAACACTCGCTCTAACAGCCGTGCACTCACCACCCCGAAGCCATGGCAGCGCCGGGAGACCTGGACGCTGCCAATGCTGATGATGGTGACCCATCTAGTAGCAACAGGCCAAGAACTGGCCTCGATTTCTTGCGAGGCCCTGTCTCAGATTCTGCACCCCGTCCTTTGCCAAAGCCCTCAGTTGACAGTGAGGGGTGGCAATTTCCCGTGCGCAAAGCTGCGCCAAAGTCACCACCGCCACAGCATGAGCTAGACTCCGACGACGCTGTATGGCATCGTCCGACACGCATGGAGGCGGACCCCGTCGTACACGACAACGTGGACTCGACGGAGATAGTTTCAGAGGTCCCGGAGTCTTCTAGCTCCGTAGCGCTGAAACGATGCCGCTACACGCAGACTACTATTGGGTTCGGCACCGGCACGCCTCACCTCCTCCTCTGCCAACTTCCACTGTGACGCCAGCACCGTCACCTCGCAAGCAGACTGCAGCTGAATGCGCTGAAGCGAAGTTCCTAGAAGCACAGAGGAACTACATCACCAAATGGCTGTCGCAGTTTGATTGGCTGTTGCTTGACAAGGGTGATGATGGCCTGCCTTGCTTGCGTTGTAGTGTGTGCAGTGAACACGGCCCAGACAATGCACGATACGGGAGGAATGGAAGCGGCGGCCGCGACTTGCAACCAGCGTCGATGCGGGCGCACCAAGCAAGCACTCGCCATGAGGAGTGCATCGACCGTCAGAAGGGACTCCTCGACAAGTTATCGGCGCAGAAGAAGATAGACGACTATGAGAGAGCGGACCCGGAGGGCGCGCGCGTGATCAGACTCATGAGGAGCATACAGTTTGTGTGCGATCAGGACACACCGATCGCAATGTACCCGCGACTCGTGCAGTTCCTCACCAGGGAGGGTGTTTCCGACATCCCTCTACAGAGCTACGGTGTCTACATCACCGAGTGAGTATAGTTGTCAATGCAATATGGAAACTTGTTGTAAACAATATTTGCTCTTACTACTCCGTGTATGCTCATCTTGCAGGTACGGATTCAAGGAGATGGTGAAGGCGATGTGCACGTATCAGCAGCAGCAACAGATGATGTACATCCACGCGTCACCGTGGATCGGCATCAGCTGTGACGAGAGCACAGACAGAGCGCGCGGGAAACACCTCGTGGTGTTTGTCACTTTCTTGAAGGACCGACAGGTGGCGACGGAGTTCCTTGCACTCCTCACCGTCCAGAAGTGTGACGCAGCTTCAATTTTCACCGTCCTGCTAAGCCACCTCGAAACCATCGGCCTGGATTTGCAGAGGATCGTCGCTATCAGCACCGACGGCGCGGGTGTGATGATTGGCACCCAGATCGGGCTCGTCGTGCGCATCCGTCAGCGCATTCCACATCTCGTCGGGACGCATTGCATCGCTCACATGTATGATTTGGTTTCTTCTTTTAAAATGCTGTTTTATCTTCACAATACCACTGCTAAGTGTTGTATCTTGTACTGTGCAGAGAAGTACTTGCCGTGAAAGAGTCCGCGTTGAAGTACACAGACCTCGACATCGTCGATGCAGCAATACGCGGGCTAGGAGAGATCGTGACGCGATCGTCCGTCTGGCATTAGCGCTTCAAGGAGCTCCAACTTGAAATCCACAAGCCTAATCTGGAGCACCAGAGGCTATTCGACGTGCGGTGGCTTTTACGCGGAGATGCGGTGCAGCGGCTGTGCAGAGTCCTTGGTGTCAGAATAAGAACGAGGAAGTGGATGAACTAGGAATGAGATGGGTACAAATAGGAAAACCTAGAAAGCTGTACCCCCTAAGGTCTAACCCACTACAGCCTAAACAGGCTATATCATATATGTTTGACACACCCCCATAGGCAAAGTGGGGGAGATTAAGGGGTCACAAGACCAGTCAAGAGAAGCAAAGCAAGCTCAGGGTGGATCACGAAGTCACCACGCATTCTGAGCACAAGCAAGTGGCCACAAGGCCAGTTCACATGCAGAGGTTTATAAAGGAGAACAAACAATACAGTGATCACAACCTAGCAGATGTAAGCATGCAGGTATATGTATAGAGATCACAGTACAAGTAGAGTCAAGAAGTAAGCAAGTGAGGCACAGTAGGCACAAGGCCTAGAACAGTACAGAAACGCTGATGATCACAAGGCTGAAGGGCCTTGGTGAACACATCAGCAGTGTTGGCCCGAGTGGCCACGTAAGCAAGACGAAGCTGACCACGCTGCTGCAACTCTCGAGCAAGAAAGTAGTGTAGAGCGATGTGCTTCGTTCTGTGCTCCAGTCTGTGCTCCTGACACAAGGCAATCATGGCCTTGTTGTCGACGTACAGCACTGGAGGAGAACGAGGCGGCTCTCCAAGGTCGGTCAGCAGGTAGGTGAGCCAGCGTAACTCCTGAGCAGCCATGGCCCCTGCGTAGATCTCAGCCTCACAACTGGAGTTGAGAACAGAAGAGGAGCGGGTAGACCGCCAAGAAAAAGAGCCGGAGCCAAGGCTGAAGGTGTAACCCTGTGACGACCGTTGCGTAGCCAAGTCGTCAGCCCAAGAAGCGTCTGCGTGACCAGTGAGGACAACTGGACCTCGCCCTCCAAGCACGAGCCCCATGCCCGACGTACTGCACAAGTAGCGCAACACCCTCTTAGCAGCATCCATGTGCTCCTTCCTGTGTCGGCCAGGAGCGACATAGCGTGCTAGGATGCTAAGAGGGTAGGCTAGGTCAGGTCGAGTGCAGGTCATCAGGTACATGAGGCAGCCCACAAGCTCTGGATACGGGCCACTCGGCTCTACGGACTCGTCCGAAGGTGGAGCTGAGAGCGAGTGACCGGTAGGCAGAGGAGTGGACTGTGGTGAGGAGTACGTGAAGCGGAAGCGCTGAAGGACCTGCTGCACCATGTGTGACTGAGTCAAGGTAATGGTGCGTTGTGCTCTGTCCCGGGTGATCCGCAAGCCAAGATAGCTTGTCAGCTCACCCAGGTCTGTGCACGTGTGTCTCTTCTGCAGCTCCGACTTCACGTGGGCGAGTGCCTCAGTGTCAGCAGTAGCAAAGACCAAGTCGTCTACGTACACGAGAACGTAGAACGGCGGCGTGGTGTCGGTGCGTAGAAACAGCGACGGGTCAGCAGTAGAAGGAGCAAACCCAAGAGCAGCAAGAGTCGTCCTCAGTGTGTCGTGCCACTCACGGGGTGCCTGGCGGAAACCGTAGATTGGCCGTCGGAGGCTCCACTGGGTACCAGGAGGAAACGACCCAGTGAAGCCAGGTGGGCGGCGCAGCCAGATCTCCTCGTGCAGGCTGCCCTGTAGGAAAGCAGTGCTGAAGTCAAGAGAGTGGAGCTCGTAGTCACGCTGAGCGGCGACGTGCAGCAGAACCCGAAGAGTGGTCATCTTCGGGGTAGGGGAGAAGGTCTGGAAGAAGTCAACTCCCTCACGCTGACTGAAGCCTCGTGCAACGTAACGCACCTTGAAGACAGGCGGAGAACCCGGCGGCCGCTTCACCCTGAAAATCCACATGCCACTGACGATGTTCGCCCCAGGCGGGGGAACCTCGTCGACGTAGGTGCCTGTGGACTTCCAGGAAGCCATCTCTGTTTCCATGGCTGTCTGCCACTGAGAGGAGTAGGGACCCTCTATCGCCTCTGCGTAAGAGCGCGAGGTCGGGATGTCTGGTGCATCTGGGTCTCCCTCAGGGGCAAGCAGCATGGACACGAGATGAGGTAAAATAGCGGCAAAGCATTCAAACTCCTCCTGTCTGTCCTCAAGAACGTC